ATCAAGGTGTCGTCCTCTTTTTATCAGCAATATTATGTTTGTTTATATTACACATTAAAAGAGACAATCGATCAAGGCCCCAAAAATTTAGGTCAGAAATGATCTTCAATAAAAGGTGCAGTGCTCAACAATAGCGCGCTGCTAGAAAATGATTGTAGAAAAGTTAGAATCGCTAATTTATTAAAATGACTCATTACCAAAGCATGAAGAATATTTACTTTACCTAATTAAGGATAGCAAGGTTATCTTTATTTATGCTAAATTTGGTTGTCAATTTCATGAAAATAAATAGATATTCATATTTATTTATTTTTTGAAGAAATTTGTCATTCAAAAAAATTTTTACTTTTTTTATTTGGGCGTTTATGGGTTTGGTAATGTACAATAACTTTTTTTTTTTTTAAAAGAAATTTATAATTTTACATTTGGGCGTAGTCTTATTATGAATTTCCTTTATGGGTATGGTAATATGGCGGATTGGTAATCTATTCCCAATCTGTAATATATAACGATGACGTAAATATTTTTTTGAAATTATTTAGCACGCCAGTGTCGCACCGTTCATATTGATCTGCATAAACTGGATACCTGTACGTCTTACATATAAAATAATGTTATCTTGCTGAACGTATACTTCTCTCCTTAGCAACGCATCTTATTTTCTGGAATACAGATGGGGTCTAAACACAATAGCATAGATATAGATTCAATATATCAAACAAATTCGCCCATTAGCTCGTACGTAATTTCACCGGATTTGAATCATGTTGGTACTAGTCATGAAGATGGTCGCTTAGCTATATGGGAGGTTGATGATAACTCTGTCAAAATGGTTGGTCAAAGCGAGAAAGTTGCATTTAATAATCTTTCATTATTTGGATTATCAAACAATAAATTAATGATCTTTGGCCAGAAGTTGTTTAATATGGAAACTTTTAAAGAGATAACGATAAGACCTCGTCCAACTGACGGAAGTTATTTACGACTTCTTCCAAATGGAGATCTTTTATTGCTACAAATCCCGTATATTTATATATATTCAGAAGCATCCTTAAAAAAATCAACAACATCACCGTGTTCATATACATCAAGTTATTATTTTTGGGGTATAGAAAAGATCAAGATTGATCATATCGTTCAAATTAATGAAAGAATGTATTTCACTCTCGTAGATCAAAATATCTTGTTTGAATTAAATTTTGAAATGATGAGTATTGAAAATTACTATATCATTCCAAATAGTGAAAACATTGTTATTGGTTCCAGTAATTGTGATTGGGTGATAGCAGTGAATAGCGAAGAAAGTTTAATCGTAATCGCACTTTTAAATAAGGAAAATGAAATGGCTTGGATACATGTATTTTCAATGAAAAACGGTCTTCTTATTTCATCAAGTGAGCAAATTATTAGCTGTTTGGTTTGATCTACTTTTATGACATAACTAACCTACCATTTTGTAGAGAAAGCCAATTCTTTTGCTTCAGAAATGCAATTTATTACCTACAATTACTTTGATATTTTGGTAGTATTTTCTTATAATAAATTAAACAACTACATGTACACGATGATGAATCCTTATAACCTTTTATACGAGTATGATTGTTGTAAATTTGGTGAAGAACGTTATCATAATTGCAAAGCTGTCCTAAAATCGCAATATAAATTGTTGTTTATTAATAATAATCAAATAAAAATGATCGATTTAGGAATTAACGAGAGTTATATTGGAGGATTATATAAATTTGATCCCAACCTAGTTCTTTATTACAGCTTCAATGACATCAAAAGTTGGTTAAATCAGTTAAATCAGACCTCCTTAAAACATTTAGATATTAAGAAATGGAGGTGGGACCAAGATAAGAGGAGATTAGAAGTTTATAAAGTGGATGAGCTTATGTGTTATATCAACTTTGATAGAAAGTATGTAAAGCCAAATTTTAAAATTTTAAGTAATGACGATATAGTACTTGAAAGTCATAATAAGATTTATATTTTTGGCTTTAACGAAAAAACAAATACCATTATAACTAGATATTATCATAATGATGTTAAAGAATTTTGTAAAAGTAAAAAACTTCCAATATCAAAAATAACGCATTTAGATGACCTAGAAGTCCAGAATAAATCGGACTTGCTTTGGGATTTGCTTAGTTCAAGAGAGAATTTCATAAAAATAAGTGATGACTTTATTGACCATGTTGTGAATAAGGAGAGAATCGAAACGTTAGAAATTTACCTTAACAAATTATATAAAGAGATTACTGATGATATTATTGCGAATTTTAGAATTTGTAGTATTATCACAAAATATTTGAATAAACTGAATGTGGAAGTTCCTTATTATTACTCAAAATTCCTTTTTATTACGTGTTTTATTCCAAAACCATATGTGAATAAATCTTATTATTCTGATAGAAATAAGTTGGTTGGTTATACTGAACAAGCTTATACAATTCAAATATATAAATATAAATTTTTTCAGAAATTTTTGAATTTTCTTCAACCGATTTACAATCGTTATAATTCGAATATTCAGAAAAAGAAAAAAGCAAGAGTTATTAGTTTTATTATTCCTTATCAGGGATTTACAACTTATCCTACTGAATATAACTTTTGGATGGAAATCTTATGGCCAAATAATAACCCATTCGTCACTTTGGATGACAAAGCATTTTATGATAGTTGGAATGCTGAGGCATTACTTAATTTCAAATGG